CGGTTAGTTATTATGGCGAATGCCTTTTCCACATCGATAGATATCCGCCATTTATCCTGCCATTCAGAAAGTGTGTTCAGCAACCTTTACATCTTCTTGGCAGCAACCACTCTTTTCTTAGATGACGTGAAATATGCGCTGTCGTTCGCATAAAACGCCAGCATCTTGTCGTATTCCGATTCATCCAGCTGTCCACGCAGTATCGGTATATCGTTGGTATATATTGCGTGCAGATGTGGTGATAGACAACTGCTCTGTGAAATACTTCTGCTTCAATGGATCTAAATGTAGACTCACTACTCTCTATTGAGACAAAGAATTTCCACCCCTCGAGAAATGACGTCACTAGCCGTACGAGTGCTGGTGGGAAGGTAGATTGAGTGATTAGGTTGTGTAGGAGGCTGATGTACCACATTCTGTCAGAGGTATTCTCCATATCCAATAGAACACCTAGAAGAATGCGGCCGCGGTTGTTCTCTAACACAAGGCGTATCTGGGTGATGGTATGGGCTCGCACACAATGTGTGTGGTGCACTATCTCTTCTTCTTTTCAATTAAATATTGGAGAGAGTCCAATCCGTCTTTCTTCACAAAGCTGGGTATGCGTAAGCTTGTTTTCGGTGATTACTTTGAGATATATAATAAATAAATAATTCAATAAACGTTTTCATAAATTAGTGGTGAACATCTTAAGAGAAAAATTTAATATACTCGTGTTGGTATATTGTGATAATGAATATAGCAACCACGTTGTCATCTGCTTGTGCATCGCTGAACAGCAGGCCTTAGGGCATCCCTCACTGCAAGGAATCTCTTCGCGGTACACAACTATGAACCGGTCGTGGGAGCCAGTCTTGTCATTGTAAGTTTAGCTATGAGGAGTCATGTTAGGTTAGTCAATAGGGACTTTGGCCAATGTTACTTGTGACTTTGGTGCTTATTACTCGACTCTCTAATCTATATAGAAGGAAATTCTCTGGGAGTTCTCTAAGAGGTTGCCCGTACAGGAGCAACATCGCTCTCTTGAAGAACTAACTCGGCGCGATACTCGCCGCGGTCAAACATACCGCGCGCCAGCCGCACCACAAAGTCTTGTATGCTCTCCATCTTCAAGTTGGCCGTTATGATACCGTTCTGCACGTAGCAACCTGCACCGATGACAGTCCGTACGGCTAAGTTCTGCTGCGTCTGCAGTCGCTGCCTCTGTTGATTCCTCAAAAGTGTGTACCAGGCTGGAGCAGTGTTGGTGATCTTCGGTCGTATGTAGAGCTTGTTAATTTTTTATTTAGTTTTTATTGAGAGCTTGGATGCCAGGAAGAGACGGAGCGTCGCCTGCGCACATCTGGCTTTGTGGACGACGATATTTACGCACAGCATCCTTTCTATCTGGCATTCTAGGCCACGACCTTCTCGTATGCAATCTCTTGGCCTCTCAGCGTCAATGGAGATGGTAAATTTATGATGCGGCAGTTGAGTAGAGCGGTCATCTTCCCAACATTGACGGCCATCCGCCACTTGTTCAGAATAGTGTCAGCAGTTCCAGGAGGAGCTGTATCCTGGAAGGGGTGATATGGGCTATACTGGATGATAAGAAGTAGGTGCTTACCAGCCAGCTCTACATCGTCCACTCATTTGCGTAGATGTCCTGCCAGGGTTGGTTTGTCATCGATGTAAGCAGCGTACAGGATCGGCGACAGACAGCTGCCTTGTGGTACGCTGGCTCTTCACTGCGGACTCGGCATCCTCTACATAGACGTAGAACCTCATTTTTTTCGTGGGGAAATCCACATGGATACCATTAGTTGCGGGGGCGAGAAGGTTAGCCAGACTCCTACCGGCTAAAACCCCACGGTGGTCACCATTAACGTATACGAGGGGTCCCGGGATCTCCATTCGGAATGCAACCAGAGCCCCTCCATCGTTTTGCTACACTACACGTCCCGTCACGTTTGCACGTCCCAGGGGCAATACTTGCTGCCCCAGCACCCTCGCAGTGCTACCACGATGTCTCGAGGCCACTCCGAGTCATCGTCCTCTTCGGAGGTTCCACAACAAGGAGTTCCAGGCCCCCGCCCCGAGCGTCTGCAATCCCGGAGGCCCTGTTTCTAGTTGGGGAACACCGTTTTCAAGAGGAGGGCCGTGACTAACGCCTTGGCGACGTCGTCTTCGAGTAGGATCCGCCCTCTCCCGATCCCGCTCAGAAGCCTCATTCTGAATCATAACGGATTCACAGAATGTGGCTACGGACCTCCACGCCGAGTCCCCGCTCACCATCGCCGACATGACTGCTGGCAGAGAGAGGTTCCGTTCGTCCGCTTCTAATCCAACGCTGGGCGTACCGCGAGCGTGTCGTAAGCGGAGTCCTGGTTCCATCCTCCGTTGTGGAAGCAGTTTGCCGTCGCCTCGCGAGAACCTCCTATCAGCTAGAAATGAAGCCACTAGCCGCAGCATAGCCGGAGGGGATACTCGTCTATTCATTCAGTTTATTGAGTTATAAAGAGTGCCATACTTTGTCAAACATCTTCTCTATATCGTTGAAGCCGCTCAACGATATGCGGCCGCGTTTTTGCTCGGCTATAAGGAAGTGCAGCACCTTAGTCAGCTGTGTGGCTGTTTGTCTATCCGAAATCAATGTTGCTCCACTCGAAGTTGCATACAAGAGCGGACTCTTCTTCAATGAAGTGGTGAAGAGTTTCAGAGATATAACGTCACCCTGTCTTAGACCTCTCTGCAGTTGAATAGGTTTCGTACTTTGGTTCTATACTCGGAAAGCCATCGTATTGTACAAACACTTCATCACTTCGATATACCGATAGTCAGCTTGGCACACCACACACTTGGCACCTTCTGTACAATTTTCCGAAGGGTATGTATGTGATCTATGGTGCAATACTTGCTGTTTAAGCTGCCTTTTTGGAAACCGGCTTGTTCGGGAGGTTGGAAGTCGTCGAATCTGCGTGCGAGACGATTTGTGATGACTCTCAAAAACAGCACGTAGTCGTGGCTCAGAAGGGAAAACTGTCTGTAGTTCTTTAAGAGAGTGATGTCGCCTCTCTTGAAGAACAAGACAACCGCACTTCTGCTCCACGCCTCCGGTATAATGCCACCATGGAGAACGGAATTTAAGAGCATCTGAAGGACTCCAATCGAAGGTATTCTACCTGCTTCCAGAAGCTCCGCTGTTATTCCATACTCGCCCGGGGACTTGTCGTTTTTAAGGTGCAGGATATCCATTCTAACCTCGCTCAGTCTGACGTCCGAAATACTATCGGAAGAGTGTCGGATAAGACTTGCTCTTGGATTGTTACTCACATTTGCGTTTGGCTCCAAAGATGACGTGTACAGCTGCCGAAAGAACTTCTCTATCTCACTCAAAATCTCAAGTGTCCCGGAAACGATGCTGCAACACTCGGTCTTCAGCTTCGACAGTTGGCTCTTTCTGGCATACAGGTCTCTGGCAAAGGCTTTGGAGCCCAGGTTTCGCTCGGTCGCTTCTTCAATACAAGCTGTATTGAAGTTGCGTAAGTCCCGCCGTATGCATTTGAAAGATCTGTCTGTCCAGTTACTTGTATGCTGTCAAATCTGCTAAAGACAGACATTGCCTGACTAACAACCATGAAATTAAGAATGTGATCGAGAGTTTTTGTGTTCTTCTGCGGCGGGTCTTGCAAAACTTTGCTCCGACTGCATGGATAGTTTTCACGAGCTTGTTATTCATATCGTCCACTGCATTGCAATCTTCTAGGCACCGAAAACGATTTTGTTTTGTTCAACACGATCTGGAAGTTTTCGGGACTTTGGATCAGAGCACGAAGGGGACGGAGCGTTGACTTCATTATTCGGGACCTTTCCAACTTAAAGACTTAAAGTTTAGGCTCAGTATGCCTTTCATCGTTCGGTGACCGCTACCGGTTTTCACCCTCGCGAGTACTGAGACATCACTAAACAGTTTTCGTCTAGTTGTCATAATGAAGTAAAACTCATTTTTGTCGAACTGTCGGGGCTCGACCAGGTCCACTTCCTGTGGGGCCACTTCTGGAAAAAGAGCTCATCATAAAGAGGCCCTTTTTCCCATGAAGTCGGCCAACTGCTGCCTTTGGATTCCGTTGCCCTATTCCGAAGTTCCTTACCTTCAACTCACTGTTCTCTCTTGTACCCAGTTTTGCGTAGAAGTCTCCCATTTACGTATTGTGGGTTTGGAGGAATGCATGGCTTTAAATATATCTTTATACATTTCTTCTACCTCTTCATTGGGATATGCCGAGGTTGGTGTGTAAACCTTCATAATCTTCAGCGAATACCGTTTGGTGACCTGAGTATGTATAAGGTACGCAACCCTTGTCGACACACTCCCAATATTTACAAAGTTGTTAACGAGAGACTAGTTCTTCAAGAGAGTGATGTAGCCTATTCATTCTCTAGTCCTATACCTCCTTGGGATAGATGGTCGCCCTCCCGGTGATATAATAAGTTTCCGGATTCTATTTTTATTTCTATCTTACTCTAAAATATTTCTATCGAATTAATTGCTCCTATTGGTCGTTGTGTTTTCTTATTAATTTCTGAAGTAACAAAAAATTAAAATTAGAATTCTTGACCTAATACTTATTAATAATGTCTCATATCCATCTACTTTAAACATAAAACTTAGTATTATAATGACGTATTATAACTAAATTAATACAACTTGATAACACTGTTTACACGTAATCATATTCTAATATCGTAGCTTACATAGTAGTATAACTATATTTCCACGTAATCACATTATAGTGTCGTCGCGTACAAATACTTTCATCAAACAATTTTGTCAAAAGCCGTTACCGTTGAAAAATACGCATAGTGTCATAAAAATACCAATTTTGACAAAAAAGATATAGTTCGATTTTTCCTATATTGTAAATTTCATCGAAATCGTTAGAGTAGTTCCGGGAACGCGATTACAATGTGGGTTTCCAAAAAATAATTATCTTTTTCTTACAATTTTATTTTGATTTTAGGCCATCGAAAGAAGAAGAAGTGGCAGATGTATGTGAGAGGGATCCCCGAAAGAAACGTGTTTGTGGTAAGTCATAATATTTGCAGCGTTATTATTATTGCTACTTATTATTAGACACAATAATCACGTTTATTTTTACTTTTTTTAATTCTCAACCGTTCGAGTTTTTTTTTGCAGTCACGGTCACTGTTAAACGTTTTAATGTCGTAGTTAAATCAAGTGGATTACCTCAATCCTTGATATATTGGCTCTACCAGAATTAATTTATTTATAGATTTAAATAAAATTGAAGTAACTGTCTGCTATATGGAAATAACGACCGTCTATTGGGATTATTTACATTCTATTAGGACATGTTTAACCATTTCCAAAACTGTCGTGTCTCTTTCCAGGCTAATCTTTGAAATGGCTGTGATCTAGGCCATATTTATTCATAAAATTTAGAGATTTCATTTGCACTTACTTATGCTTAGAAATAATTATAGTAAAAAATACTAAATCATCCTAACTTGGTAAGACTCGTCATCTCTATTAAATGGATGTTTTTTTTCCTAAATTCATTTATTTCATTACACTATCAATATTACACAATGTTCACGCTTTGGTAGGAGGTCTGGAAACCGCAGTTTAAATTACTTTAAATTGTAGTCAAAAAGAAGTTGCTGCCCATCTCCTGTATCAGTTTCTTTCTGTCGTCTCCTACATCACCCACGGGATAATGTCGGGTTCTTGAATTTCTTACGCCACTCTCACACAGCAATGTTTTATTTTATTTACAATAGTCTCATGAAGTCATGAATCATCCTTAGCAGGAATGTATGTTTTTGCGGGTATTTGTGATTTATAAAAACTGATCTGCACAATCCACCTGATGGTAAAAGGATAAAGAAAGAGACTGTGGCTCCTTTTGAAAGAAAAGTCTATCCTCGATTAAGAATCAATATTTAAATTCATCGTCACCCCTGCGGAGGATGAATTTAGAATGCCTCGATACTGGTTAAAAGGATTTTCGATTCCTTTTACTCACCAACTCACCATAAAAAACTTAACAGCATTAAACTATTGAATAAACAAGAAAGCTTTAAGAGCATTCCCGATCGAATCGATATATTCATGCTGCAACCAAAATAGAGCTGCATCGTAGTTCTAATTCTTCTTCTAAACATGTTATATTGAATTTGAGCTACAATAGTTCACAGACACAAATTCTAATTCCCAATTTTTACTGCTTGCAAGATAATGTTTTACATGAAAGTATTGATAGCATGAAAAGTAGTTCTTCATTACCAACGCCTCAAATTAAAAAAATATATATAAATTCTGGCGTTTTGGAATACTTGTGTTTCGCGCCATTTAATGGCTGTATTCTCAATTACAACCTATATACAACATTTCGAAACCTTTCACTTTTTGTCCGTTGATCGGTCGTGCACCAAAATACTAATATTTTTTTAACATACATTTATTGTATATAATTTTATTCCTCTAAATATAATACTCTCGATATATTATAAATCTAAGCCTACGAAAACAAAAGGAAATTATTTAATTTGTTAAAATATTTACTTTTAGACGATGGAAAAGAAGAAAAACAGCATATTGAAGAAAGACGGGAGACTCGAAGAGGGAGTGAAGGTCTAGGAATTCACGAAATGCCAGGCAAGCGAGTAAGCGAACCCAGGCGAGAAAGTCAAGCCAGACGGAAAAGCCAAGGCAGACGGGAAAGCCAAGCCAAATGGGAAAGCCCCGTCAGACGACAAAGCCAATCCAGAAGAGAATCTCAAGTCAAGCAAGATGGTCAATACAGAAGAGAAAGCCAAGACAGACAAGGTGGTCAATACAGAAGAGAAAGCCAAGTCAAACAAGAAGGTCAATTCAGAAGAGAAAGCCGAGTCAAGCGTGATAGTCAATCTAGGAGAGACAGCCAAGTCAGGCAAGATAGTCAATCCAGAAGAGAAAGCCAAGTCAAGCAAGATAGTCAATCCAGACGAGAAAGTCAATCCAGAAGGGAAAGCCAAGAGAAGCACGATAGTCAATCGAAAAGAGAAAGCCAAGTCAAGCAAGATATTCAATCCAAAAGAGAAAGCCAAGACAAACCTGATAGTCAATCCAGAAGAGAAAGCCAAGATATGCGAGATAATCAATCCCGAAGAGATAGTATATTCAGACGCGAAAGTCAAATCGGGAAAGAAAGCCAAATGATGCACGACAGAGAAAGACTAGAAAGATTTGAAAAGTTACAAAGACAAAACATACGAGAAGCGAGAAAAAGCCAAAGTAGACGGGAAAGTCAAGACGATAAGTCGAGATCATCAGGGAAACAAATGACTAAATTGAAAATTAAAATGGGGTAAGTTCTTTTAATGTTTATAATATACTTTTTAATGTTATGTGTAAGTACAGACACACTGCAGCATATAAATGGTCGACTCAATCCGGAGGAATCACCCCTGCAAAAATACCTGCATTAAATAGCAACATACTGCTACTGGGTTTCGTATGGTGAATGATGAACAAAAAACCGGCCAAGAGCGTGTCGAGCCACGCTCAGTGTAGGGTTCCGTAGTTTCCTGTCCGTCACAATAAGTGTTCCCACTTATGAGTTTAAAGGTGGGTATCCATAATGTTCGCGCTCCAGCAGCACTCCGCGCTCTTGCAACTACTCCCGGTAGTGGGTACTGTTGTTTCCATCCAAGTTTAAAATGATTTTCCTAGAAAGTCCTTATAAAGTTCTACTTTTCAGATTTTTTTCATATTTTCTAAACTTATGGTTCAAGAGTTAGAGGGGGGGGGACACATTGTTTTTTACTTTTAGAGCGATTATTTCCGAAATTATTGACATTATCGAAAAATGATTTTAGTAAACCCCTATTCATTTTTAAATATCTTTCCAACAATATATCACACGTTAGGGTTGAAATTAAAAAAAAAATCACTTACCACTTTACATATAGGGGGGCTACCCTAATAAAACATTTTTTTTCCAATTTTTATTTTACCACTTTGTCGGCGTGATTGATACACATATTGGTACCAAATTTCAGCTTTCTAGTGCTAACGGTCACAGAGATTAAGCGAGGACGTACAGACGGACAGACAAACATGGCGAAACTATAAGGGTTCCTAGTTGACTACGGAACCCTGAAAAGAGATCATTTTTACTGATAATGAGGCATTTCATCTTAGCCCTCAAGGGTGACACCGTATATGCATTTTAGTTTTTTTAAGAGGGCAGATATAGGTGCCTTTGATCCACATCATTCGCTTACTATTAGGTTGACTGCATGCTCATAGTATGCTCATGTTTGCTTATTTGTCACCCTACCTTCTAGCAAAAATATTTAATATTAACTACAATTAAATTATTAATAAAAATGTCAATTACGTTGTAATTAGAATGTTAAAAATTAAATTGAATTTAAAAACACACTATTTTTCTATTTGTGATTGAGCATACAGTTATTTGTTTCCTCAAAACATTTGTCATAAACACTCATTAAATACGTAATATCTATTATGTACACATACTTTTTTAGCTTTTAGAACTGTGATATCTCAAATTTCACAGTACGCAGGCTGGGTTCGATCTCCGCCGGCCAATTAAATTGTTAATTGCAATTTTAGGGGTTGATTTACTACGTGCTCGATGGTGAAGAAAAACATCGTGAAGAATACCGTATGTCTGAGAAATAAAAAAAAATCGAAGTCGTGAAGTTCGCCAACATTTGGGCTGCGCGACGGACATTTTCTTGCCCTAAAACCCTCTCAGAAATATTTTTTTATTAAGTGCGAGCAGCTATTCCGGTCTTGCAAGACTAGTATCACTGCGATCAGTATTGTTTAGCTTTGATGTGGCGATGACTTTACAGTATTAACAACGTTAATTTTAAATTATTTGTTTGTCAATATAAAATGAAATAGCTTCTTTAACTCGAATAGGGATATAAAGAAAAAAAAATAATTTAACAATGAAAATAAGGAAAAAATTAAAAAGATATTATTTCTTGCATTCATCCCTATATACGCTTATTATTTGTAATTCATGTGTCAAGATCCTCGTCCCATTTTGATGCTATCTTAAATAAATTGTGTATATATTATTATTAATAATAATAATAATAAGTTCTTTATATATAATTATTATCACCATTTATAATGAAAGTTTTTATTCCTATTCGTAAATTTTAAATAAACTCAGCTAATGTACAGGAAGACATTACGAGTAGACTCATCTATTTATATTTATACCAACTATATAAAAATCAGTCTGAAATTAAAAACCTCAATATAAAGTGGTGAGTAATCATCTATTAAAGACGACGCTGATTACTTGAATCATCGATGTCATTTATATTGTTATCAGACGTATTATTTGTATAAGTATTATGTATATTGATATATGTGTGTTTATATTTATGTATGTATATGTTTGTATATATGAATAAATAGGAGATATTTATATAGTTTATTTATTTTATATATCAGTAAAATGTATATTACGTACTACTTAGTTAATTATTACTTTTATTTTGTTTTTTTTTTCTATTCTATATTGCTACACCTATGTACGAATTCTCACCACACCATGAGTTGACTGGTAGAGAATGCTGTATTCTTGTATATTAAGGAATGCAATAAAGAATAAATAAATAAGGTTCCTTATAAATTTTGGTATAAAAATTTTGACTTTCATGAGATAAATTTACCGTTGTGAATTGTTTTCACAGTAAACGAGGTTCGGACACGGACGGAGGAGGCTCGGGAAATGTCGACTGCGAGTGCAGTAAGTAACGGGGAATCTTTCATATTTTCTCACACTTTAAACTCTCTTTCCTGTATGTATGCAAAGTCCGTAATACATAGTTCTTTTGATTGTTTTCAATTCTAGATAAAGCACTCACTGTAGATTTTATAGTACGCGAGTAATCCGAGTTCAATACCCGTTTGCACCACTAAAATTATTAAATTAAATTTTGAGTTATAATTTACCTCGAACTTGTCAATGAAGGAAAATAACGAGAAAAAACCCGTATGACTTAGAAGTGAAATATTTCGAAACAGAAAAGCGGGTGTCATCATCATAACAGCCCTTTAAAGGTCCATTACTGATCATGGACCCCAAGGAATGTAAAAAAACACAACCCTGAGCTATCTGCATTCATGTATTGGGGGACCATCGTGAGTTTAGTGGACGAGGTTGGTACTCGAAAATCTTTCGTCAGCTTAGTTTGTCGATTCTTTAAACTATTCGAGAATTAAATTTAAAAAATCTTCAGCGGCGGGCGTACTGATAACCTTTCAGTAAGAAGTGGCTTTTGCACTAGCACGTATTAGGTTTTAACTTTACGTAATCTTTATAACTCGTACCATAAGGAACTGTAAGATAAAGAGTATGAGCCTTCTTTTGTGACTAAGCTACTACTGTTACCATCTGAGTCTTCGGATTGTAAAAGTAAAAAGTAAAAGTAAAGTTGCAGCTTATATACGTCCCACGGCTAGGCACATGCCTCCCCTCATTTCTAAGAGGGTTTTAGGGCAAGGAAGTGTCCCAACGCGTGTTGGCGAACTTCACATGTCTTCGAAATATTTTTTTTCTTATTCCTCGGACATGCAGGTTTCTCCACGATGTTTTCCTTCACCGCCGAGCACGTGGTAAATCAGCACTTAAAATTGCAATTAACAATTTCATTGGTTTCGGCGGGAATCAAACCTGGGTTACTCGCGCTCTGTTATATTTACAGCGAACGTTAACCATCTGAGCTACCACGGCTCTTCAGATTGTAGGCCATCATTAACAATAGGAATGTGCCAACGCCTGGAAAAATATCGATAACTTGCAAGCAGGAAATCGACTTGAAGAGTGTAAGCGAGATAGATAGACAAAAAACAGTAGTCGCATATCATGTGTAACATCTAATAACTCACCTTGGTAATAAGCAACGTTAATATTATACGAATATTCTAAAAAAAGCGAATGGTTTTTTAATAAAATTATAAATATCTATTGAGCAGCGACAAAACCTCAAAATTTATAAAAAATAAATACTGAAATATTTATTAGGAATAATTATTCATTATTACTCAATTGCATTTTTATCAATGATGTACACTTTTTTTCAGATACTTATTATCAACACTAAATACATTTTATTAATATAGTTTACACATATAAATTAAATTATATAGCAGCACACTTTATTACTTCTGCGCGCGTTCATTGGTCAAATCAAATAGCGCGCGCTTCGCAACTTTCCTGTTACACACTTCCGTCTCTTTTCATGATATCACTCCCACAGATTCCAGGAGAGCGAAAGGAAATATGTTGAATTTGTTGATTGTGATGATGATGATGTTGAGGCTGATTGATGTGAAGATGATCATATCATAATTTGATGTGTACATCAAAATTATGATATGGTATTGCTAATTTGTAGACTATATTAGAAAAGATGATTTTATAAATCGTTTTAACGATGTCATATCATATCACATATGCCACGTGCTGCATTTGTTTAATTATTTTTAACATTATAATATTTGATGTTTCAGGTGGTCAGAATCCATTAAAAAAATCAATATCTATGTAAGTGATATCTTTATGTATTATAAACTTTGATGTGTTTGTTGGTAATCGTGTAGCTTCTACATAACTTAACTGATTAGACCTTAATCAGTTAAAAGTCGTAAAAATTTATACAGTATATTATTTTTTGTGGAAACGATGGTTCATAGCTAGCATTCAATTGGTGGAGCAGTAGTCAAGTTCTTAACATGTCTTATATTTATACTGTAATCAATCTAGAGTAAATAATAAGTTACAGACGATAGAGGGAAACAAGCCAGGTGATTGGCAGCAACGTCTTCCTAGTAACAGCTAGAAAAGAAACTGTAGTTGCCAATTCGCCCGCCAAGCATGCCAACTAAGTGAAATATCCACCTTAAGGGGAAATATAACCTCAAATGGCTTAGCAAGATCCTCCGTTACGCCGAAAGTATTGCAGCATTAATTTTGAAATAAATATATGGTAAAGTTGAGGATTAATGTTAAGGTTTATGTTAGACGAAAACACGATTCCGTAAAATTTTCTCGATAGAAAAAAAAATCCAAAGTTACCTCCAAACTGAACAATAAACCGCTGTTATTCATAAAATACTTTAAAAAAAGATCATGAAACTTTGCATACTAACTGAACTAACCATAAAGCAGTACTTATGTTATTTACTTTTTTTAAAATATCATTATTTTCACTGTAAAAAGAAATTACCTAAACTATCGGCGCGTAAGCTTGGTTCCTGCGGAGCGACAGGAACCAAGCTTACGCGCCGATAGTTTCATGATCTTATTTAAAGTATTTTATGAATAACAGCGGTTTATTGTTCAGTTTGGAGGTAACTTTGGATTTTTTTTCTATCGAGAAAATTTTACGGAATCGTGTTTTCGTCTAACATAAACCTTAACATTAATCCTCAACTTTACCATATATTTATTTCAAAATTAATGCTGCAATACTTTCGGCATAACGGAGGATCTTGCTAAGCCATTTGAGGTTATATTTCCCCTTAAGAGGCAAACTGTGTAATAATAATAAAAGGTAATAAGAGAAAGGGGTTCGGAAAATACCTCCGCACTGGCAAAATCAGCAAGAAACCTATCGGGATTTTAGACATATATAATTTTACAATAATTTTGTACGATTGTATGAATTATAAAATAACCAGCAAGGTAACACTGTATTTATATTATGCACGTATATATACGCGCCGCTGCAAGAGCTGTAAGCGAGTTTCGCAATACAGTCAATCGCGGATCTCGATTTTCAAATAAATATTATTTAAATTTTTATTGTTATTAAAGACGATATCTGATAATATGTTTATCGTCAACGGTCACGTATCCGCTGTTAGAATTCAAAATGTGAGTGATTTCAAAAGCAATCAATCATTTCAAAAAAATTTGACACCAGATCATTTTTTTCATCAGAAATATAATACCTACCCTACTATCGACTAAAAACCCTTAATATATCGGACTATAAGACCCTTAATATACCCGATTAAAACAACAAGTAAAGTTTCTTTAGTTTAGTTTATTAAAAATTTTCATTTATTTTCATTCGATTACTTGATGATCCTAGAAATCAAACTTATTAAAAATTAATAGTGACAACCCTAGTTGAGATACCGCTTCAGCATATTATATCTTTATCGTATAGACATTTACTGTGATGGCAGCGATTACCTCATTTCCAAGGTTTTTTTTTCTTTAATGTGTTCTTTATTATTATACCAGCCCTTATTATACAGTATTAGTTTAATAAAATTTTGAAACCTGTTGATTAACAACTTAAGGAAATTTCTTGAATTTCGTCGTAAAATATTTACATTGCTCTTTATATTAATTACTAACTCGGTGGAGTAAAGTAGCGGGAATTACAAGTTGTGTTTGTTCTTGGTATTAAAAGTATGAATATCTTTGATCTCATCAAAGCTTTTTATGTTTATATGTTCATACATTTTCCTGTATTTAATGCAATTATGAATGAAAAAATTGTCTGTACGGTCTCCCTGTGCAAAACAAATATGGTCTCAATGTCATTCACGTTACGCCATAACAAAATTCTTTAAGACATACGCCATGAAAGTAACTAAAATAAACCAATCTAGCTGTATCAACATGAGTGTAACTTCTAATCTTTCTTACAGCATATTCTGCAAAACTACAATGATAATGTTGATGTATAGGTTTACATTTTTACTCTTTTTAAAAATATTGATAAGCATAAATACCTGCACAATATTGTCTGATCCTGTGCTGTCTTGCAATTACTCGTAATTTATTCGTTATTTACTTCTACTTTATCTAAAAAGTCATGTATTCTATTGTATATGAGTTAAAATATAATGTGTAAAATACTTTTCCAACAGGCACGTTCAATCGGAAACTGAATTTCAAGACAGTAAAAGATATAAGCGGCTAAAATCCAAACAAAAAACTAAGAATGTGTAAGTATTTGACACTACACTCTTTTTGATAACTATCACATTATTATTATTGTATTTAAAATATTTCAATAATGATGATAAGACAGATTGTAAAATGAGTAGATTCTCATCAAAAGCTGTAAAAAATTGGATATTTCGTATTTAGTTAATAGTTTGCTTACAACTGGAAAACATGAGTGTAGTGCGTGTCGGCATTGATGAAATATGGATGCCTTATGAGGAATCTCTGTGCTATGGAGAGGTCTATGTTTAGATTTTCTTGGTGTAACTGACAAATCACAACGGATCAGTAAGCTAAATTGAGAGCCGATGGCGAAGAAAGGTTAGCATGTGCCAGCTACATACCGGTAAACGAAATATAAAGTTTTTGGGAGTCATTACGAAGTACGATACCTATCCAAATGTTGAAAGGTGTAAGATATGGTGATGTTATATCCCCGAAACTCTTCACCGGTACGTTGGAAGACATTTTCGCGCTTCTGGACAGTAAAAGCTGTATTAACATCAATGGCGAGTACATCACTCACGGAAATCGAAAGATTTGACGACGATATAGTCCTTATAGTGATCAAGAGTGCTTCCCATCGGATAGGTCCTAAGATGAAGATAGACAAAATAAAGATCATGTGTTATGTCCATGTCACTCTTATGACGGTAGTTGTTGGGAGCACTAAGCTCGAAGTTGTTGACGAGTATGGTTTACCTGGGACAAATAGTCTGACAAGGTAGGTCCAATTTCGAGGTCAATCAACGGATTAAACTCGTCAGGTATATATCAAAACTTGTAAACGAAATTATACAACCAGTGCGTATTACCAGTGATGACTTATGAATCTGAGACGTGGTCCTTCACTGCTGACTGTATGAGGATGCTCAAGATCGCTCAGCGAGCTATGAAGAGAGCTATGCTCGGAGTTTCTCTGCGTGATAAACTTAGAAATGAGGTTATCCGCAGTAGAACCTGAGTGACCGACATAGCCTAACGGATTTGTAAACTGGGTTTACCTTGGAGGAGGCCTATCTTCAGCAGTGGACTTGTGAGGGGCTGTTAATGATGATAATAATGATGACTAGATGGGGTGACGACATGATAAGAGATGCAGGTGCCTCAAGAGCGTGCTTTGTGGCATTCTTTGGGAAAAGTCAATTATTTCAAGGCGTTATATGATTACAATATGCCTTCAAATAATTGTTCTGGGACGACATACCAAATATTAACTGTTACGTGCGGGATTAGTAAAAATACAAACTAGAATGAGAAATAGATGTATTCTTCCATACACAAAGCAAGTATAATTACGTTGAAAAAATCGGTAAGCTTCTTCGGTGAGATCCTCAATAATCAAAGACGTTGTAGGTCAATTGATCGTAGTCGCTTCCCGAGGAAAAGTTCACTTTCGCATTCTCGATTGATTCTCCGGTCGCTGGCGCATGCTTTTATACCCAAAAAGAGGAATGTAGAATATTCTCGGTTAATTCGGGACATTCCCTTTATCAATGGCAAGGTACTAAAATACTCGCGATTACATCGTATATCTAAAAGAGAAAAGGCTTTATATGTACGCAAATATATAAAGTTGCGTTTTGCGTGCATTAATTAATTTGTGTCCCGTCCATTAATACGTCTACATATTTTATTACTTGACATAGGGCCCTTGTCATCGGAAACATTGTTGTGCAACGTGCTGTAATACGCAACGGCTGCTGTAACAATACGAATACTTGTATCGTGCGGTATTTAAACCCATGGCCCTCAGCGCTGCAACCCAATACTGAGCCACTGCACCACGAAGCCGTTCATTCATTCATTCAGTAATCCAGAATACTCAGCAAAGTAAACAACGTTTAAGAAATATTTTTCTATGACTTGGAAAGAAAGTCGCTGCTTTCTTTTTAAAACCACCAAAAGTGACAAACAGTTAACCAGTTTATTGATACGGTAGCCTAGGGGTCTCCGAATCTCGCCACTCAATATACGAAATACGTCAACACTGTGCCAGTATTTCACATTGTTATTCACTCACAAGTCATACTTCCCCAGTTGAACAGAACCATTACGTAACTAAATTTCAGTTTATGCTATTACGCAAAATGGCTCAAATAAGTCTCTCGTCGTTTTCAATTAAGCCTTCATATAACAGAACATTTCCGGAATTATCTAAATATAAACCGTGTTCATTTAGAAACATCCAAATAGTATATATAACTTAAAAATAATAAATTACATCAAAACCTTGCAGTAATTTTGTTCAGAAACAATCAAGTAAAGATTCTTGAACTTCCTTACAGAATTTGTCAGTGTCCATCGAATTCTACGAACGTAAGAACGACCAAAGCTGAACAAAACAAATCGGACATGCCAGCTTCATTCATTTGTGAAAGTGGTAATATTTTTATTTCTATTTTTTTCAATTATGCATAAATTACCGAAAATTAAAAAAAATGTGCCGACCCGTCCCGTTTCTATCCTGAATACTGAGTATGAAAGCAAACTATTGATCCTACGTCCAGAGCCTTAGTCCTGGTTTTGGGATCGTAACTATCATATTTGTCAGCCTAGCAGGACGGTTGATATATACTTTTTCTAGGTATATCTAATTACTGATTTAATAGAACCTAGGCAAATATTTATAGTGATCTTTTTTTTTAATTTTCCCTCAATTTCAATTTAACTAATGGTTGAGTGTTCAATCATCAGATAAAATTTTACCATGTAATAAATTTTAGCCTAACTGAAAATAAAAGTGAAACAATTGAATCATTTTAATTTTTATATTTGTATTATATTCTCATAATAAATTTTAATCTGATGATTAAAAGATCAACCCTAATTAAAGTTGAATTTGAAGACAAACTAAAAACATTACACGAATTCTTTCTAATTTGACTGCAATCAATACCATATTAAGTCATGGTCTAAAGAATCACGACTGCTGTTCATGCAAAAACAAATTGTCGGATTGTGGGTTTCGTTATATCGTACTTGTTCCAGTTTCTAAAACTACATTCAAACTTTCTTTCGTTAGATGTAAGTATACCCTAGAGATAGTATATAGATGTCAATATCGGTAAGTACACATCGATTTAAGATGAACCTTGTAATAAAATATTTGTAGTTTTTATACTCAAAATAAAAAGGAAATTATAATATTACAAAAAATTTAGTGAGTACTGGAGTATTTTCATTTAGAACATCAAGAAGTAATATTTAAGGTTTTAAAACGTACCTTTTAAAACCTTATGAAACCTAACAATTTAAAAGTCGTTAGAAAATTTCTGATTGTTGTAAAATAAATCATTTGAATAATGCTACCTATATGATTTTTAGAACAAAATAATACACAAACATCGATATTCGATATCTTTGTTCATATCATCGATATATTTTAGAACACTTAATACTAATGTTAGAATAATAATAATAATAATAATAATAATGTCTTTATTTATCCTCTCACATAACATAAAGTAAAACAATGTAAATCTAGTCGTACATATACAGAATTCTATTATGTGAGAAGCTGGTGCCTGAAGTAGGCATATATAAGCCTGTAGTACAAGTCACCAGGTTCCCACCCCTCGAATGCTATGACATTGAATGAAAATATTCTAGGAAAACAATAGATAGATAGATAAACAAAGGAATTCTTATACTTTTTAAAATTACAGCGAAAATCCAGGATAAAATACTAATTAAGAGTGTATTATGATATAAAATGTATAAATACATATATGTATGTATAGTACTATATATTTATGTTCGTGTAGTGTAGTGTATAGTATGCGCGTGCACGCGCGCGTGTATGTGTGTGTGTGTGTGTGTGTGTGTGTGTGTGTGTGTGTGTGTGTGTGTGTTTTTGTGATTTTGGGTGAAAATGACGATGTTTTGATAACATCGAGGAATATATCGATATTGAGGTGATCGCGTCGCTAGTATATCCTGGTGCACTACTACTTATATCGTAAAAAAGTGTTTGCAGTCTTATCTAGCAATAATTGAAAATCAGGACGAAGTAAATTATTTAGTAGTAACAGAGTAGTTAACAGGTTTTTCTTCATTGACCCGTAAAAAACCACTGCTGGAAATGGGCTTCTCCAAGACGGACTGAAGAGAGCCTTATTGAAGTGCACAGCTAAAAATTATATATATATAAGATATATATATATATATATATATATATATATATATATATATATATATATATAGAGATATATATATATATAGAGAGAGATATTATTTAGGCCTCTTAGAAAGTTGTCTATTTTGTAAATAAAGTAATATCTCAGAATATCAGAATGTCAACTTTGATTAATATTGCAGACGAAAATCAAATGCCAGAGACTCCCAGATACAGTTCAAAAGGAAGACCTTCTGCAGGTCTAATTCCAAAAACCGTGGTGACTGAATTTCCAAGAAGTTCATCTAGAACCATTCCTTGTACAAGATCTGCGTACGTATACTTAGTTGAAACAACTTGTTGTATTCCTTATCATTTTATCAACATACTGTCAGTTAGTCCCTAAAATCCAAATCTCAGCCTAATCTGATGAATGTGTATTTATCGCACACGTAATAAGGAGAGTTTTGTAATATGACTTTTTTTAAATAATTACTTCATTAAAATGAAATCTAGAAAAACTTTAACACGCTCCGTGCAGACTGTGAACATGTTCAGGATCGTCCCCGTCACTACATCAGATTTGATAGACTACAAATCCTCGCTAAAGAACACCGATTCCTTCCAAGGATGAATTGCGAGGCTATTGAAATCAAAAAATATCTTCATCTGCTTGGGATCCTATACTTAATAAAATTAAAAGCCAACCCAAGCATACAACTTCAAGATACTATAAGTTCGTACTGCATAAATCGGAACAAAATTAATAATTTAATCTATGGTAACCGCGATTAAATATGACATCTAGACGTTAAACATCTCAGTCTCCCTCGTGACCATGGGTGCTGTAAAGTGCT